GAACTTGGGTCCTTGGGCTTTTGAAGCAGGCAATGGAATGACTGAACTAAACCCCCGCCCCTTGAGTCAATCTTCTTTTAATATGCTATTCTTAACGGTATTATTGCCTCTTTTAATAATTTATATCCTCTGCATTTTTCCTCATATCATTAAGGCATAAAATTATCAAAAAAACTTTGCTGATTTAATTATTCATTTCCCTTGGTCTTAGATGTTGCAGTGTCTGCATATCTATCTAGTATCTTCACCTAGCTCTGTGAGGATGGGGCTCTTAGAGTATCTTTTGTGCGTTCCCACCAGCTAACAGTTTCAGTGGGGAGATGATGGACTTGCATCCCCAGTGAGTCCATAACCTCGAACATGTGGGCCGACTCAGAGTTATTTCTAGCGAGTGCCCTACTGTCTATCACACTCTGGATTGGCAAAATTGGCACAGTCAAACCTACTTGAAAATGCTTGGTCATTAGTGTCTTCCGGTCATCTTCAATCTGCCGAAACTTGGCTTTCAGCCCTTTCATTTGCGTTTCCATTTTTAAAACATACTGGAAATCTCTCTGTGTTCTCAAGTTTAAGACTTCAATAGACTGGGACATGTTCTGAACCTGTTAAACAAAAATGTTTGATATACGTTATTGTCTGTGTGCAGGTAACTCCAGTCACTCCTTAACCACCCCAGAAGACGTTAACATAATGGGCTGAAACTGCTGAATCCATAATTGCATTTCCGTGTCACATTTTCAGAAGGACATTTTTTCGTTATAAACATTCAATTAGTTAAGCTAGACAAAAATTATACTTAAGGAGGAGATTAAAAAATGGACACTTTAGCATTAGAAATGACTGCATATAAAGAAAAATTTAGTACATTAAAATATACTTTAAAAATACAATTTTCCTTGCAGGGCCTTGTGAACTTATAACCACCTAAACTAAATGTTTCGGCAACTTATTTGTGTAAGTACTAATTCTACTTCTTAAAGATCAAGGATGCTTAGCAATGTTGAATTGTAGTGGTGTCTTCACAGGTCAAGAGAGCAATCATTGCCGGGAACACACTCCACGTTGGGCCTAAATTACTCCCGGGAGTGACCAGTACCGGTGGCAGGAGCGCTGTGACACCTCCAAATTGGGTAGCATGCTGTTTAAGGGACCAGGGAAATGGCAACTGCAAGTATTTGTAGACAGACAGTAAACATATATTAGGCAGATGGTACCATCCCAGGTTCAGGGAGCCCTGGGCTATTTAAAAGTGGGAAACAGGTGACCTAGAAAACATGCAGAAATGAAAGAAAGGCTGCCCCAATTTTTGGGTCAGGAAAAACTTGAATGCAAAGGGAAAGCTTCTAATAGTGAATAATTTTTATACTAATCGAATAACAGAACATGAATAACCAACCCATTTCAGGAAGAATAAGAACAATCTTTACATGCTTAGAACTCATCCTGTCGTCAGAAGAACAACTTCAGCATCACCCAGGAGCTTGTCAGAAATGAAGACGCTTGAGAACCACCCCAGCGCTACTGAATTAGAAGCTACATTTTCATCAAGATCTCAGACTGATTCCTGCTCTTTCATAGCTCGAGGGCTGTTCATTCATAAGAAAAGCAAATGTAAATATCTTTATATGACTTTATTCTTTTCATTTTTCTAAGTCAAATATACACATAACTATGAAAGAAGTAGAATATATAATGAAAAAAATTATGAAGAAACAAAAATCATGGGTGGGGGATTTAGCTCAGTGTGGTTCCATCTGCCTCGCAAGCACAAGGACTACAGATCGATCCCTGGTACCAAAAAAAAAAAAAAAGAGTGAAAAGAAACAAAATCATGAAGAAACTTGCAAAAGTATTATAATCTTATATATGATATTATTAATATAAACATTTGAAAACAGCTGTCAGGGTATATGTAGATGCATATATCTATTTCCACAGAATTATATATTTTATAACATATATAAAGTCTTACTGTATTAATACATTTTTATTAGCATTTAAAAGTAGTGCTTCCAAAGTGGTGGTGAAATTTTAAGTTTTACTTTGCTTCTATATTTGCATGTTGTTTCATTTATGTTTTTAGTGACTATGCATTATTTATGTAATCAGTAAAAAGTCATTTTCATTGAAATAATGTGAATTGCAAATGCATGATCTTTTCAGAGACAGAGCTTTGCCCTCAGGTAAAAGCACAGGTTAGTACTATAGCCAGCTATAAAGAGCTTTGTATTTTTATACTCAAACAGTCATATTCAGAAAGGGCAGTGAATTCTGCTACCTTAGCCAGCCTTGGTTTTTCTACTCTCTTTGTCCAACAAATCAATTTTCTTTTATCTTCTTCTTCTGCTGTCTTGATTTGTAGTCCAGTCTTTTGTGAATCCTGCTTCTTTAGGATGTATGGCAATCTGGCTTACATTAAAACTAATGGTGTAATGTGTACTTGGGGCAGGGCCAGGAAAGTCACTTTCATTCTGTGACCCCCAAGAGATTACAAACTGACTCTTATTCATCTCTTTACTTCCAAGACACTGCACAGAGCCAAACATAGAATAAATGCTCAATAAATATTTATTGAGTAAAATGTTACTGGATTCCAATAATAATAATGAGCAATTGAGATCATAATATTTTAAAAAGAAGGATTTTCCCCTTTCTGTCCCTGGTTAGACTAAAGCAGAACCTGACTAACAAATATTTAATTTACTATTCTTTTTACACTCCAAAATCTTCTTTTAAAATATTTTTAGTGCAGCACAAATTACGGAGAGAGAACTGAAAATGTGGCAACTTATTGTGAACAAATGCAATGCATTAAAAGTAATTTTCTAACTCCATTAATGTTTAAACATGAATAAAGGAGAGCCATTTGCATTAAAGAAACTACTCACTTAAATATAGCATTTGTCTGTGAAGGTACCCATCACTAGAACAGCTGATATCCTCCTAAGAATTCTGTGTACCTAGACAGGGTCTGTGCAATTTGATTGTGATGGGCAAGGGAAGGTATTCTGAATAGAGGTCCAATAGCTTCCTATCACCCTATCAAGTTAATTTTCAACTTAATTTTTCTTGTAGGAAAGTGCACTGAGAGAATTTTGCTGAGATTTGATTGTGGCCTCATACTGAATAGTCATGTAATATAATTATGAGGGCTGCAAGGTAACAGCTGTCTAATTGGACAGGACTTGGCTCTGGCTTCCTTTAGCTTTTCCTATTGGCTGTGCTTAGGATTAGTCTCTTCCTGGTTACGGAGACCCCTGAGCACCAGTTTTGTGATGACATATGGGACTGGAGTTTTTATCCTCTACTTGAAGGAAAGAGACCTGTGTGCTGTACTTCTCCTTTTAGCTTGTTTGTCTCTAAAGTTGTGCTACAATTCAGCTTTTTTCACATGTTCCTATGGTTGGACCCTTTCCAAAAAGATTTTAACAAACTCGTTATCCCTTCACTGACAATCCTTTTCAAAACTAGGGCCCTTGCACTTGAGAGGCAGGCAGCAGCACCACAGAGCTAAATCCCGCGCCCCTATATTGGTTTCTTGTATAAAATGTCTGAAGTCTTTCTGAACTTCACCAGAAATGAACTTATATTCTTGCCATCATTCATAATTACTGCCAATGACATTTGAACAAACCAAAAGTTTGGATAGTTTTTGGTTTTACAAAAATACCAAAGATATGTTGACTACAGTATGTTACAAAATCTTTAATATTGAACTACTTTTCAGAAATTTTTGAAGTGAATTGTCATATAGAGGGTATTTCAAACTTATTTTATTTGTGAGGATGTTGTCAGTATCCAAAAATCACCTTTTAGGAAGCACTGACCTAAGCAGTGGAAAATATCTTGAACTTTCCCGAAAAACGACATAGCTAACAAATATTTTCAGGTGAAAAATTTTAGCTCCAGCATACTAAGAAACCAATTGAGTTTTTCTGATATTCAATAATCCATAGACTTGGTAAATATGATAGGGCCTTATGTAAATAAATTCTGGATTGTGTTGAAAAACGGAAGACTGATCAGATATAGCTCTATTGCTTACTGCTCTAGTGACAATGGAAAGGTTTAACCTCCAAAGGTACCAATTTTTTAATGTAAACCTATAAAAGTACATATTCTATAAGAATTAAATGGAAAAAATAAAAATATTATAATGGAAAATTAACCTAATAATGGAAACTTATCAATATTTAAAAAATAATATTACTTTTGTTGACTAACTCAGTCTTTTGGGTTATTGGCAAATGGGCTACTTAAACCATAATACTCTTATTTGCCTTATGGAAAAATCACCACAAAACTTTGCCAGTCTGTAAAATAATGCTCATTTGAAATGTCTGTTTAGGATCAGCGCAGCAAATCAGTGCTATTTACCTCCTTCAGGCCACTGTAGGTTTACTACTTTATAAATCCAATTTACAGTTACTCTTAATTTGCTAATAAATTTTATTTGATATCTATTATTAGGATATTGATACATTTTTAAAGCTATGATTTGCCTAGGATTTTTTAAAAAACATTCAGACATTATCAAATGGTGTGGTTATTATATTCCTTTTCACCTAAATTCATGCTCTTACATTCTTGCCTTATTTGTTCTTCACTAATTCATAGCTCTATCATATTTTGGAGATATATTTCACTTTGGAACTGTAGTGAGAATTATTTAGTCTCTAACATTCATACTTTATTGGAATGTCTCACCTGCTTTTTGAAGAAACATTTGAATCTCTGTGCAGTATTATTGTGTACCCAATGCTAGGTTGAAAAACAGCACCATATGAGAAAAGCTATGAACATTTTCTCAGCATAACTGATATGGAAATGTGAGACCAAAGTGAAAGGGGCCTAGGAGCCAGTGCTCTAACCCCCTCCCACTGCAGCCATAGCCCAACCTTTGTTCAAACCCTGGCTTAGGAATGTAAGGCAGTCTTGTACTGTTTGAAGTCCAGATCCTGATTAACGTGTAGCTTAGTGGTTCTAGACTATGAGATAAAATCTGTACCGTACGTAGAGACCCCAAATTAATTGTTGAACTGTTTGCTCATCCTGAATGTCTCAGTGGCCTTTAATACATCCTATAGGTATCTGTTAATCATAGATGTGTGACTGCCGAGTATGTGACTGCTGACCACCAGCTCAAATCGGGATACCATTAACCTTTGTCCTCTGCCTGCAAGATTAGAATGTTAACCCCCCTTTGTAACCCCCTATAAAAAAGACCTCAGCTGTTGAGCTGGCTCCTCTCTGAGCCAGCCACTTGGTTCTGAGAGTGCCATCTGGCGAGACTAATAAAGGTCCGTTTACCAGTTAGCCTGGTGTGTTCCTTCCTGGGTGACTCTCACTGTTCATCAAAGCTCCCGGGACCTCGTTGAGCTATAGGATTTAGCATCGTGAAGGCCCTTTCGGCTGTTCACACTCCGCGGAGTGGAGGTGAGACTTTGGGTCTTACAGAAAGTTGATATGGGTCAGGCCTGGTGACATACACCTGTAATCCCAGTTACCTGGGAAGTAGAGGCAGGAGGATGGTGAGTTTAAGGCCAGCCTGAACCAATTAGCAAGACCCTGTCTCAAAATAAAAAAAGAAAACTGGGGTGGGGATTTAGTTCAGTACTTTCAGGATCAATTTCCAATACCACTGAACAAACAAACAAATAAACAAATTGCAAACAAAAAGTATTTGGTACATAATGTCTATAATCTGAGAGAAAATATAATTTAACAGAAAAAAAATTGAATTCAAATCTTTTTATAACTTAATTCCTCTGGTAACCAAACAAAATAAAACCACATAATCAAAAATTTTCATTAAAAAAGAAAATAAAAATTTGAAAACTTTACGTAAAATAATCAAAATTTATTGGTCATCATTTCTCAGAGTTAAGAGATACATTAGTTAGACTTATTAATTTCAAAGAAAAAAGATATATGGTCTTGCAAAGGAATAGATAGTGAGGAAGCAGGAAGAATAAAGTATTTCTTTAAAAGAAGGTTTAAGAGGAGACCCAATAGGTAATGTTAGCTCCAAAGAAAAGGGAAGGTGACATAGAGTCAACTTCGTATTAAAAACATGAAAAAATGACTCTTAAACTCTTAAGCTTCCAAGGTTTGTACATGAGAAAACTTATGTTCACTGTATGGCCAGTAGAAGAAAGTCACTTGACTTGCAATGGTGAAAACTTGTCTATATTAACAAATTTAATGCTCTCATTTTTCTAGCATCTCTTAATTTTAGGTAAAAAATTCCATAAATGGATAATCATAGAAATAATGTTATAAAGAGTGCTTTGGTAGCATGCTGCTTTTTTAAAACACCTACTACCTAATTTATCCTATTTTCCCTGATGGCGCGCAAAATTCAAACATGTTGTCATCTTGCATAATTCTGACCTGACATCCCCTCCCCTCGAGCCTACTGTGTTCAGAACCCAGCATTGTGAAAGTCTGAATGCGTAATTGAAAGAGCCATTCATTGGGCTTTTCCCTAACTTCACATAAATAACCTTTCATGAACTGACTTTTATCTGTAAAAGAGAATAAATCAAGGGCATTCTTCATTTGATTATTATGGATCTGGCTTCAGTAAATTGTAGAGAGAATGGTACTGAATGAAATTGAAGAAATAATGTTCAAAGGAATGACTTAGAGAACGATGTGTCCTGATAGCTTGCGTGTTGTATGCTGTTATTTTAACTACTTACAAGATCGTTAATGGGATCCAACTGTATCAACTCAAAGAGCCTACTGTGATTCTCAGAGTTAAGTCTGAATTTTGGCATAAAAATATGATTATTTGCTTTATATTTATTAAAGAGAGATTAACCAGATATTAAAGTAGTGTAGTAAAGAGCCATTCTCAAAAAGGTAAAGTTGAGAAAAATGAAAAGATGTAGAAATAAAACAAAGTAAGAGGAAGCTTGAGATACTTCAGCTGAACAATAGGAAACAGATTGTTTGAAAGGTGACACAAAATCAGAAAAATCCTCTTCACCATTACCTCTTTTACCATATTTCCATTTCAGAGAAAGGTACATCTCAATAAAAATATGCATAAGGGACCCAGATACCTACCTTTTCCAGCAGTTGGCGAAGTTGCCGGCTTTTGGCATCCCTGGAGCACAGATTTTGTTCTGGAGCAACCACTGTGCAAATGCATCTCCCATCAGGGTCCTGTGCAGAGCTGTATACCTGCCACCCCTCTTTGGGACTAATCTGAGTCTGAGAAAACCAAGAGCAAACACAAAACACAGACTCTCATTAGAGAATAGGGAAAATGTGGGTTTATAGTAGCTTAAGCAAAGCATCTTTTTTGATAATTAGTTTTCTTTCTTTAGAGTTAGATTAAGCAATTCACAAAGGTAGTAGAACTTCAGTTATACTTTCCTTCCCAATGTCCAAAAGTAGATCTTTTGTCTCCTTCCCATATTAATAGCTATTTGTTGATCTCACTGCTTCTTAATATGTTTTATCACATTTTGACTCTTAGATGCAACTTCAGAAGTATTTATCGGCTACCTAATCATGTATGATTAGACTTGGTAGCTTGTCCCTCTCAATAGTAAATGACAATTATTATTCTTTGCTAATTATTATTCAAGTGTGATATTCTGAAACAAAGCCCTGCCTCAAGGAACTTCCTTTGCATTGAAGGTCTAATTATTTTAAAATCAGGAAAGATTATCACATAACAATATAGTATAAAATAAGTCAGCATTGTGTTACGAAAATTACAGACTTTCAGAGAAGTTAAAGACAATTATTTTGGCAGAGTCTGCTAAATTGATCTCCCCATAATTTCTGTTCACTTACACCCTATATCTCTAAATCCCAGGTAGAATAGTGGTTCCACTGGAGTCTGTCACTTTTTTATGCTTATTATTTTACTTCCTACTGTCCAACAGGAGGCTTCGCTCCAGCCAAATTGAGCTGTGTGCATCGTGCCATCCTGTGATGTTGACTCATATCTTTGTGTATCTTTGCTCATTCTGCTTCTTCTGCTTAGAATGCCTCTTTTATAAACCATCTGTTTACGAGGGCTACCTATTCTGAAGTATTCTCCCTACTATTCACTAGGCATTTAATGTGCATTGCCTCGTATTGCTATTTCATTTCATGTATCTTACCAATTAGTTTATCTCTAGCTATTAGAAACATACATAATTCTATCTGTTCTGGCAACAGTGCTCTATCAAGTACCCAGCTAATTTCCCTTATTTTTTCTCTAATTATTCTTTAAGAAGAACCTCAATAGATTTTCAAATAATGTACATAGAGGGAACTTACTTTCATTATAAGGCAGCAGAAGAAATTTGCCATTATTATACTTGAAATTGTGTAAATTGGAAGTGTCTGTATTAAACTCGAAAGTTTCATTTCTCTGGCTTCTCTTAATTTTCTATTAAAAATTCTCTTTATGACCAAACAGCAGTTACTGTGAATGGCTTGGTACACATCACCATGCACTGGGAGTACGGCGCCTCACTGCCCAGTTAAATCTCTCTGTGGGGATTAACTTGGATATAGAACACTGCCTTGCTCAAGACCAGGAGTCAGTGCAAGGAAAGTTCCCTTCCACTTCCAAGTAGCTGGAAATATTATTATGTCCATTTCGTAGAAAAAGTTAATCTGCCAGAGAGCATGCAGGTTTTCTGTGGCGGTGTTAGGATGTGAAGCCAAGTGATATGCCCTGTCACAAATATGAGGGTCAGGTATATAGTTTTCAATTTTCTAGTTGCCACATTTTAAAAATGAAAAGAGACAACTGAAAATAATTTTAATAAGATATTTTAACTCAATTTACCCAAAATGCTATCATTTCAACATGTAATATGGAAATCGTTCATGTTTTATATTCCAATTTTCTGTGTGTGTGTAGCACTAGATATTGAACCTGTGCTAGGCAAGCACTCTATCACTAAACTACATCAGCAGAAAATTCTTCCTTTTTAAAAATTTTTGGCCGGGTGTGGTATTGCACTCCTGTAATCCCAGCACTTGTGAGTCTGAGACAGGAGGATCACTGTGAGTTCAAGACCAGCCTGGGCTACATAGTGAGTTCCAGGTCAGTCTCAATTACATAGAGAGACCCTGTCTCAAAAAAAATTTTTTTTGAGACAGGATCTCAGTATGTTGCCAAGGCTGGGCCTGATCTGATTATACCCCTGCCTCAGTCTCCCAAGAATCTATAGTTATTGTTTTTATTTTTTTTTAATTTTGTAATGAGTCATTGAAATTAAGTATTCATTGTACTCTTATGAATTCTGTTTGGACTCTTCATATCTCAAGTACTCAATACATGTGTTCTATAGCCACATATAGTATTTGACAGTACATTTCTAGTCTTGCTCTTAATTCCGTTTCAACGTCCATATGGATATGACTCTCAATAGGCACATGATTGTTTTAAACCGATTAATCATATAGATATTGAAAAAAATAGCAATGTGATCTTACATGGACAACCCATTCATTTTGTACAGATACTCCTCGTTTAATGACCTGTTTAATAATTATTCACACTTACAAGCCAGGCACCCTGTTCAGATTTATGATCCCACTGCTTCCACTAGTGACCTGACTTATTTTTGGTACAGTTCTATACATCTTGTTTACAAAGCCTCAAAGTCTTCTTTTGCACAGTACATCTTGTTTATACAGTACTATAATTTTTGCTGATTTTACAATATAGTACTGTAGTTTTATTTTTTTGTATATTACATAAGTATGTATAAAAGCTATGCCAATAAAAGCAAAGTCATCAAGTTGCAGTTTCCTTTGGCCATTTCTTTGTTTGGAATAATGTAATGTACATATGATATATAGTTGCTCATCTAGCCACCCATTAATTGAAAGACCTAGTCTCTGAAATGGAATTCGCTAATTAAATGAGGAGTGTATTCATTTGAATTAGTATTTTTTTTCTGTGCAAACATGAGATAAATCACTGGAAATTGTGTTATTTACTTTTCTCTCATTGCTGAGACAAACTACCCAATACCCAAAGTTAGAGGGGAAGGGGTGTATTTTGCTTACAGTTCATAGAGTTTTCAATCCATAGTCTCCTGGCTCCTAGGCTGGGATGGCAAACAAGGATCACAGAGGAGAAACAGCATGGTGTGCAAAAGATAGCCAAGGTAACAGGAGACCTTCACTGAGTCTTTCTGCGGCTTTTATCCCACCCAGACCACTGGGAATAGGACAGTGCCAAACTAGTCACTCACACGTAGTGATTTAGTAGTCTCATGCCCTTAACCCCAGCATCACACATTCTAGATTCAACTCCTAAAGAGAAAGTCCCACCTCATCTGCATGTGGCTTTGGGGGGACAACTAAACACAAACCATCAAAGTTATCCTTTTGTCTCAGCTCTGAGATGATTTCTTTAGCCAGGATCTGAATTTTTTTAGCCTTCTCTTTCCTTTCACAGTTTTCAGAGATTTAGTAGATAAAGTGGTATTTTGTTATATGCAGAGAAGAGGAAGATGAAATCAAAGTCTGATTTCTGGCTTACTCTGTTTTAGGCCCCAGTTTATCACATATTATAAACCAACGCACCTTTCAAGGGATTCATTGATAATTCTTACAGGGTACTTACTGCCATTCCAACAACAGTCATGAACAACTATCGGGGAGGCTGTACACAAACTCCAGAAACTCATAAAGATATCAATCTTCATATTTGATCTACTGTGAAAAAGAATGGTGCTAAAACTATCTTTTTAGTCTCTTCTTGCCCATCTTGTTCATATAGTTATAGAAGTCTCTCACTCTTCCCTTTTAGTCCTGAGAGTTCCAGATCATTTAACATGACAAAATTTTCTATTCCATTGGCCCTTTCTTTCTGGAATTTTTGCCTAGATATCCCAATCAATTAATATCAGTAAGTGTCTATTTTTACCTGCACATCCAGAATCAAAAGATGTACTTAGAATTATCTACCACTACCATCAGTTAAGATCTTAGTTATTGAGTTCTCCTTTTTTGTGGACCAGAAGAAAGTACAGAGGAGATTATCTACAGAGTGAAGAAAGAAACAGGCTAGCAGTACATTTTCAATGAAATATTATAGGTTTAAACACAGTAACAGTATGGGATTAAAGTATTTGGACATAGGCTCGTTGGCTTCTTTACTGCACACAAATCTCAAATATGTAATAAAATTAAGGCCTTTCACTAGAATAAATTTAGCCTTTGGATGAAGGAGCAGGGACCACCCAATTATAATATTAAACTATTTTGACAGCTTACAAGCAGTATAAACACTGATTATTAAACCTGGCAGCATTAATGCTCACATGCCCTTGCCAAGCGTTTGGCTGACTGATGTGGAGATTATCGTTACAGAGCTAGGCGGTGTCAGCTGTTTTCTGGAATTGGCAAGTGGGAAAGGTGAATAGAGTTTGATGTTGATTCAGCATCCTCCTGGAAGCATCTGCTTAATAATAGTAAAGACTCCAGCCTTCTTCGTACTTCCTGTAGGAAGCACTGAGAAGTCATGACTTCTGCATTACAGTTAGAATGATCTAAACTACAAAAAAAAATCCTGTTTGACAAGAAAAAGGTGAATCCAAAAAGGAAAACCCTAATATAAAAGGTGAGTTCCTGACAGGCTTGTGGATTTTCCTAGAGATTTCTCGGATGCTGGGTTCAGTGATAAATAGAGGAAGTGTTAAGAGAACTTTAAGCGTTGTATTTTAGGGCACCCATGCTGGCACTGAAAAGAGAGGCAAAATAAAATATGACTTCAGGTGGAAGAACATATTTAGAAGATCTCTGAAAAATGTCATGCCCAATTTTAACCTATAAGAGCAATTATTCAGGTGTCAATAAAACTCATATTATGAACAATCATTTATGGAACTCTATTCATTACATGGCAGTGTGTGTGTGTTTTTTTCTTTTTTTGTCCTCAGATATCATAATAACCTTGTGGACTACTCTACCAATCTTCCTGATCAAGATAGAGACAAGAAATTAAAGATAGAGACAAGAAATTCTGTAGATCATGCATGCAAAGAACATTCTGCAGAAATGGGATTTCAGAACACTAACTTTAACCACCATTTTATTCACTAATTATTTCAACCCTCTCAAGACCTGACAGTTTAACCTAGTATCATTTTCTGAACTATTGTAAAGCTCAGTATTTGGACCTGGAGGGTGAATATAATATATTGCTCCCCAAAGCATTAGAAATTATAGATTAGTAATGCAGCTCTCGTTGAATCCTTTGAGTTAATTAAAAGTACTGAATGAACTATTTAGAAGTTTTTAATATTACAAATCTCATGAAATATTTAGAAATACTCTTAGTAAGAATGTTAAAAGGATAATTTACCAATTGCACTTCAATTCTTGATTCTTATAATTTAATTGCAAAGCTGTGTTTGTAAATGTAAAGTCAACTTGTGCGAGTTTTCCTAATCCTTTAAGAATTTTATGTTGGAAAAAATGGATCCTGAGGGTTGAAAGGCAAAAACCAAAAATCTAAATGCCTGGTATTTCTGTATCTTTCCCTTTATAAAATCTTTTGTCTTAGTCATACTTCCAAATCAATTACTCTTAGAAAGGGGAAATATTTTATTTTACCGAAGAGGTAATTGAAACTTGAAAGAGTTTGAGCAAGTTTTTCAGGTTATCCATTAGTCAATATTACAGACTTATACTAGTTTTCTCCAACTTTCAGCCCAGCAGTCTTTATGCTCATCCTTGTCAGATGAATGTAGATTATCATGTACACCCATTCACCAAGAGCCATAAACAGGGCTTTAGAGGAGACAGAGCCCTCTGCAGTGGAGAGGAACAGGTCTGTCCTGGCAGGTGGAAGGTATCATCCAGTGCGGAAAGAGTAGACACTATCATACCAGGTGGGCAGTCAGAGTAAGTGCTCAGCAAGGTGCAGCTCGACCCAATACTTCTGTGGAAGGCACTGCAGCACTTTCTCAGGACCCAGCTGGAGGGGCAGGCAAAGGGAGAAAACCTTGATCTTTTGAACAGAAGAAAATCACCTGGTTCACACTGTTACATTTTTACGTTTCTTGATGTTTCTGGTTGTTCCATAGAAATGCAGACTGAGGCAAAAGAAATAAGGGACCAGTCTACTGAAGTGTACCAGGTGGGAGACAAAGCGGAAAGAAAAACACTTATTAAAACCTGTTTCGTGTAGAATGGAGATACACGTGTGATAAAAACACCTTATCAATTTTCTGTATGAGATTACTTTTGGTCCTAGAGAGTGAAATTAGAGTTAGCATGCTAATGACTTTAGTTGTGGAGAAAAGAAAAATGTGCGTATGAGAGTTAGAGAGAAGGTGACGGATCACTCAAAAGGAAGCTGTGTTCTAGAGGTCGTGTTAATAAAGATGTCACTGCATAGCAGCTTTTTGGCTATTATTTACAAGAATAGTTGGGGCTGAAAGAAATGAATAGTCTTCCCTCAAGGACATCTCTAGGTTTTAACAACAACAACAAAAAACAACGATAATAGAAACAACAACAAAAATAATCAAAGACATTGTCAAATTTAGGATGGCTACATCTGCTCATACTCTGGAAATCACAATGAGTTGGAGTTGGGGGGATCCTGAGAGTAATATTTATCCCTGTGTCTCTCCACTAAATGAAGCTTCAGTATGTTCTTGGGTTTGCATTTGACCTCTGCATGGTAAGGACTTCATCTCTTCACAGGCCACACCTTCTATTGGTGGCAAGTTGAGGGACGTGATTTGAACTTCTGTCTATGTAATTTTCCTTCTCTGGCCCTACTTTTGTTATACACACTTAAACAAAATAAATGAACTTTCTCATCCATTAGGTGATTCTTCTATAAAAAGGTAATTATCACATTCTGCTGCTCTCAAGATGTGCCATTTTGTTCTCTCAACCAACTCTGCTATTTAATTTTCCCTGTCACAAAATGGACATCACCTAAAGATTTGGGAGGATGGAGGGCAGTGAAGTCAGATGTCTTCATTCACTGCTACAAACACATTGGACAGTTGAGGATAAAAGACTCAGAGAATATGGACAGTTTGTTTCAGTATATTTAATTAATATTACAGAACGTTAAATTTACTAACACACCTAAGTAGCTATTTCTGAAGAGAAGCTATCTAGGTGATTAAAAATGTAGCAAAACAAATTGCTTATGCCTAGAGGTCCCTTCAAGGCCTCTTCCTACCACCGCAGTAGGTCATGCTCTCTGAGAACAGCTGGTGTCTGCTGAGCATCCTCTGATTTTTTAAATTATTCTTTTCCAGGTTCTTCCTGGTATGGAGCCCACAGCATGGGGGATTTCTCAAAAGCTCAGCCTCCAGGGGAAGTTACTGTGCATCACAGAGAAGTGTCAGGGGGAGGTGGGCCCTTCTGAGAGCTAAAGCTTCCTCTCCTCAGAGCCAGTTTAGAAGGAGAGAAAATGGCAAAACAAGAAGGATGAAGGAAGGAATGCTCCGATATTCAAGAAAAACAAGAGGAAATTTATTACCTAGTAAAGAGTTGCATTTAATTGCTTACTGATAAAATACATTTTGGAATATTGAAAATTTCTCTCAGCCTTTCAGAAAATCAAATGTACACTGGCTATTTCAGAGACATTTGTCCTAAACAAATGCCATTCAGTGCTTTGCACCCTACATTTCTTTTTTTCTTCTGGGTCATTTAAAAGTATCATTTTAAAGAAATATTATATTTACATTTCTACATATTCCATGAAGAATCACCAAACATATTGTAAAGCTCCAGTTCTGTGCATACCTTGGCAGGTTCATCTCAATCATAGTGTTTAAAATGTGAGCAGGGAGTAGGAAAATTGAGCTGAAGAACTGGCTTCCTACTGTGTAGCTATATTCACTGCGCTATAGAATAAAACCTTGTGCATCTTTCCATCTAGGGGAAGAGTCTTGCCAGCCTTTAACATGGAAAAGATACTAAAAGGTCTTTAGAGAATTATTTCCAAGGCATTAGGTAGAATCCCCTGATCAGAAAGCATCCTTCACAGCTTTGTCTCCATCTCTAAATTGCCACAGAGGAAGTTCTTTTTCTTCTTAAAAATGTGAAAGCTTTGTCAGTTTTATATTTGCCTTTAGGGCTTTCTTCTGACTCTGTAAAACCAAAGAAATGAGGGTATTTTGAAGGATGAGGACTTTGGTGTGCAAGACGAAGCATGGAGTCCAGGGACACGCTAAACTCTAAGTGAGGCAGAGTGCACACAGTAGGGCAGAGGAGGTTAGAAGGACTAAAGGAAGTGGTGGGAGAGATGACCTTTCTGGGTAGCATTGTACTCTTACAATTTGGCTTCATGATTAACAAGCTGAGGGGAACATAAATGATCACTTACATGTCTCAAGTCAGTCTACCCACTTGCAGATTGAAGAGATTACATCAGATTGGTTATATTTCCAACTAAACTGTGGAGAGCTCTAAAGTATGTGTGAAGATATTTTTACTGGAGCAAGGAAGAAAATGTTAGAGACCCAGGAAATGAATCCTGCCTCTCTTTATTATTTCTTCATTATTTGTTTGCTTACTGATTTCCATTGAAGAAAGTATTTATTCTGTATATATTAAAACTAACATTTAATTGACCAAACAAAGCTATGCTGCTGAAGGTGGCGTGAAGATAACCAGCCCAGATGTTTTCTAAGATCCCTTTCACCTTTCCAGCATCAACATTTTATGCTATTAAATCCAGAAATAGAGTCATTCATCCTTCACCATGGGAATCCTAAGGTATGAGCAGTTATCTTGAATAATTAAAGAATAGATATTACTCTTCTGAAAGCATACCAAAAAAAAAAAATTTGCAACCTGGTTTCTCCATTCCAGAAAATACCACTCACAGTTTTACTATTCATAACCATAGTGAAAACTCTCTTGAAGTTATTAGAGTTGGTTTGTTTGCAAAAGGGAGACATCCAAAGTAGGAACTGATACATCACAACACACAAACACCTAAATGTAAATGTAAATGTAAATGTATTGTGTAAATGCTTTGCATTTTTTAAGTAATAACTGTTGGAAAGTAAGGAGAACTAATTTACTTTAAACTCACAGGACAACCAAAACTTCTAAAAATTAATTTATAATTTTGGAAATTCAATTCTCAGTCAACAATAGAAAATAAGCAAGCCAGTATTTTTATGCACAAAATATGTACAAGGCAGAACTTAGGATATTAGACATATAAATTATTTAACAGTTTCATAGTTTAGGATCATTTCTCTGAAAGAGTTAATTCAACAACTATGTCATTGTAAGGAACGAGGTACCGGACATTGAAAAAACTTGGCTCAGTAAATATGAAGTAATGCAAATGTCTTTGTCTTGTAATTGTGTATTGATGACATAGCAGTCTTTCTTTGCAACTTTACATCATTCCTGCTACCCCATATCTTGAAGATACAGAAAAGAGTCTCTTCTCTGATGGAGTTACCCAAGGAAGGTAAGAATGTAAGAGCAGGTCATCATTTACTTCCTATGTACTCTGCTGGTGTCCTAACACTAGGAAATGCTGAGAAAGTGTGTAATTAATTTAGTCTGACTATATTCAGTTAATTATACATCGATTGATAGATTATTACTAGCAACAGCAATTTTTTAAAAATGGAAGGCTAGCTTTCCTGTTTGAAATTTTATTATGAAAAGTTTTAAAAAAAGCAATTGCTTTTGTGTCCTTTATTTGATAGCAAAGAAATTGTTTTTTTCCATAATATTCCTTTTATTTAAATTTTTATGTAAAGTGTTAATAGCTTTTCTTTTTCTTTAAAATCTGAGTATTGCTAACTAAACCTTACTCTAAACTATCAGAAAATGCTTTTTTAAAATATGGGGAAGATTAAAAGGCCACAGTTTTGCTTAATGAATGCCACATAAAATAAGAAAAGTCTTCATAAAATATTAAACAATAGAGGAATGTAAGTTTTTATCGAGTACAAGGTTTTATTGTTCATGTTTCTTAGCCCCTTTAGAGGTCCTTCTGGCAAGTTTTAAATTGTTGAATTTTTTTTTCCATTTATGCTTTAAAGGATGTGCTTTCAGCATTAAATAAAGTTACAGGCATCATGCTCCAAGGAAGATCTTGCTGTGGTAACACTAGATTACGTAAAATACATTCTATACATTATTATGTAGGAAAATTATGGGGATTTGTGACATTACAAGAAGAAAATGAGAAATTAAGCATATTTCTTTAAGAATCTTTCCAAATCTCAAATTAGAGTTAAGTTAAATATGAATCAAAGCTCTTCTATTTTAAAAATTCCTTTTTATAACTATTAGTCCTTTTTATGAGCTAATTTCTCATAGTTTTTTTTTGGGTGTAACATTAAAGTATTAACTTAGATATCATATCTTTGAAGTTGACCTATAAGTAGAGAAGCAACATCCCAGTTTTTGCAATTTACGAAACAAAGCCCACTGCTTTATTAATGCACACAGTTCCCGAGATGGCCAAACCCACAGGGATCACTTACTAAGGTATCTGGCGTCGACAGCCTCGTGGTGTTCAGTCCCACCAAGGATGGGAGAGTTTGGGACATCCAGTTTGAGATCATTGCCATGGTGCTAAGCACAGCACCAAGCTTCAGCAGTGGAGGACTCATCCTTGTGGATGAATTTTCATGGTGACTGATTAAGATCCCAGAGCCAGGCTGGCAGCGGGAGGCGTGACTGCTGCGCACCACAATGACAGCAGAAAAAGATCAACAGCCCCAGCTCTAATCACTGGGGAAAGCTCACAGAACCTTCCCCCACCTCATGGGAAGTGCCCTCCGCCCATTTCCGTCTGCTTTCAGACCCTGCTAGATCATCAAACAAGAAATCCTTCATAGGGCTTGGTTGGTAATTAACAGACCAGAAGTTGGAAGGCAGGGGAAATGTGAGCTTTGCCTGCTCCAGTGTACTCAGTTACCACCAACACAGTTCATTTCCTCTGGGGTTTGTGTAAGTATAATCAGCTGCTCTTTATCTTGCATAGAAAAAGGATGCCTTTAAATGGAGATCTGCCAAAGTGCACATTTCAAAAACCAAACTTAATATGTACAGATTTTCTGGGCAAGGGCAGAGTGCTTTTAGGAAGAGCGTGAAAATAAAGTCTGAGAATTATTTCCAAGATGGTCAGATATTGAAAGTAAGAGATAATTTTTTAAAATGGTAATTCAAAATTAGCATCGTAACCTTAAAAATGAAGTCAAAGATAAATAGCTACTGCCTGTGGCAAACACTACCTTTAGGCATCTTTTTTTCTGAGTAGACAAAAAAGGCTGCCTTGGAGAGAAACTTATTTTACAGAGAATTCATGTTTCCAGTTGTACTTTAAGAACGTACTTTGCTTTGTAGGTGCTCAGTCACATGCCAAATTCATTTAACACTATTTTCTCCTTGAGAAGAATGACAAGCACGTATTAAAATCTGTTTCTTGAGAGAATGAGAGCTTTCTTTTTAAAGGTGCATAGGGCTTGGACCCGGGAAGTCTGAGGTTCTCCTCTTACTCTCTTCTAGTTAGCTATGTAAGTAGCCAGAAAATTAATTTTTGACTTTACTGTTTTCCCATAATATATGGGGGTTGTATTCCATGCCTCTTTCCAGCTCTAAAACTCAATAATCTTTTTATTAGAACTCCACTGGTAAATATGGTACATTGAATCTAGGGTTTATGGGTAATTTTGTTACATTTTTTAAATAAAAATACTGCAAATTGCCCGCATCCAAATCTCAGGTCTCAAATGGAATAAATCAGAGGTAATTTCCTTAAATAATGTATATATTTTAAAATAAAAATGAAGAGAGAAGACGTGAAAGAAAATGTAGCTTAATCATGGCTAAATGAAAAGGTTACAAAAATTAGTTATAAAAAATTTAAGAAATAAGTTTTGATTCCTTAGGAGAATTGTGGAATTGTTTGTATTTGGAATTTTTTTGACAAAGATGTATGTCTTTGTTAACCATTTTAGATAGGAGAATAAAAATGCAGTCTTTAGTAAAACTGATTAAGACGTATATTACAGCGTGTCCGTGTACTCTATTTGCAAAAGCAGCTTTAATCTGGAATGTATGCTAAGAGACTCCTCAAATTTTTCTTGTAGCTATTAGTTTGAATCTAGATATCTTTGCTTTTTGTTTATTTGTTTTACTTTAAGATGCATCTAAATGATTTCAGTTGGTCTTTATTTGTTAATCATGGTACCCAGAAAATCAAACACTATTTCTTTTAATCCTTCAAAGCTTTTGTCATAAGAGTAAAATCGCAATCGTTTGTGTATAAAGTAGCACACAGCTTTCAAGGACAAGATGGAAATTTTACACTAGTTAGTATTACAATATAGTAATAACTTGCAGGGTGGTTTTGCAAATCTAAATGTTTACAAATTACACCTGGAAATCTATCCGACTTTAATGAAGGAGAGGGGTATATTTTCAAAAGCTTAATTTCCAAAATTGAAAATTAATATACATCCAATTACTGGGTAATTTAAGAAGCAGTGTGGCAGATGGTAATTATACTTATTAATAAACTATCAGTCAACAAATAATCGCATCTTTAGAAGAATATAGGATTGAATGTCAGGGGAAAACAGAGTAAATTAAAAAGAAAGGAAGAAATAAAGAGGAGTAACACAGATGGAATGGTACTTTCAAGTCCCCAGAGATGCACATAATTATATTAAAGAACTGAAAGAGAACAATGTGAAAGTTTATGATTCCATGACGTTCATGAACAACATAAAAGCTACCCTATGTCGTTTCAGAACCGGTTTAAATCTCACACACCGGAAGTAGAATAGCTCCAACCATAATGGTTATTCATTGTGGGAAATAAAAATAACTACAGTTTGCAAAGAGCTAAATAGTTGCCGCTACTCTTTAAATGATTTCCAGTTAGAAGTTGAATTTGCAAAGGGAGTAGCTTTCCCGTAGAGAAGTAGCAGCCCGTGTTAAGGTCAAGAAACCCAGTAGCTGCAGAGTCTCCACAGCACAGTGTGAGCGTGAGTGGGAGAAGTAGCAAGGACTGAGGCTGGAAATGCTGGCTGTGACCGGGGACAGGCTCAGACCACCAGTGGTATGTGATCCTACATACCATAGTTTAATGCAAAGCAGTGAGGCTATTAATTTCATGCTGTGAATTTTTTTATTTGAGCATTTTTTGTGGTGCAGGATAGACATGTGGGGCCTGCAGGGAGAACAATGCATATTAGAGACAAGAAGTTCACTTAGAGGTATATATGTCCATAGCCTAGGTAAAAATTGATGAGTCCTGCAGTCAGAAACTGTTAGTGGTCTTCAAAAGGATGCATTTCACGGAGGTTGGGTGGGCCTTAGTGACTGAATGGTGAGAAGTGAGGACGAAGCAGTTACCTAGAGGAACGTCCAGCTTCAGGTTGGGGTGAAGAGTGTCATTCATCAGGGTCAGGGTTTCCCCCAACACGTAGAAGCACGACTTTAGGGAGAAGGAAGAACTCTTTGTCGCATAGCCAATGTGAGATTCTTGTGTAATCAGAGGATGGCAAGGTGCTAATGCATACAGTTCAGAAAAGTGTTAGTTTTCTTAAGCCACATGAACTCGACGGCCTAGTAAAAATAATGTAACTTACATAGGTGACAACACGATTAATATAGTCTTAAAAATAGCAAAGGTTTTATTTAGAATTTCATTCAAGATAATATCTACATGTATTTCATGTATAATCTTTTTAAACAGCAAGAAAGAGAAACTATTCCTAGTAAGTGGTGAATGTATTTCTATGTCTAATATTCTCACCAAAAAAGGCTGAACTCACTTTTATTTTCCTCTTAAAATCCCACAGTGGATCAATAGCTGTGAAACCTACAACTGTATACTGTTGCCCATGGCATGGTGAAAGATAGTGATTAACAAATGTATGCATTAGATTTTTATAGCAGCCTGTCATTTTATTACCCAGAAAGTATTTCATGATATACCTCTATAATAATTAATAACCAAATAAATATTAAGCAAGAAACACTAGGTAATCATATATAATATTAGCATGTTCTGTCACTAGAAATTTTCCCCTTGAGTTATAATACAAAAGTGCAATTTTTTGCTTGTTTCTTTATTTTGGTACTCGGGACCTTGCAATTGCAAAGCAGATGGCAAAACCACGGAGCTATATCCCCAGCCCTGCAATGTTGTTTTAACCTTAAGTCATACAGTACTTCCTAGTTTGGGGGCTAACTGTGTAGTACGTATTTGAGGATATCTGGAGAACACAGTCTAACCAGATAGGAGAAGTTAAGTATGTGACAAAACCCAAAAGCCACACAAAATGACAAATTAGTGAGACAATTGTTTTCTTAAAATTTGTCTTTAAGGCAATTAAGATGAGAGTGAGAGTATGTGCTGAGCAATATAAAGTTTAAAATGGAATAGTCTATATGTACTTTATTTTGTCATTTAAAACCAATTTTAATTTATAGTTAGTC